AGGGATTGCAACAGCTAGCATAACCTGCTGTGAACTGATGCGTCTCCATCAGGATACATACATACAGACTCCCACTCAGAGGGGAGGATGGGGGAGGCTGGCTGCCCCAAGTTAACTCTGGTTTTATAGAAATGTTCCACACTGTCCTCTCTGATTTAAAACAGTGAAGGGTGAAGTATTTATTTAATTCAGTTTTATATTGATTTTAACCGCAGCCACATTCTGAAGTGGAGGGCCACTGATAGAGTATCAGTGTTTAATAAGCTGGGAGTGATTATAAAATTTGATCAGCAGCTGTAAATGACAACAGAAACCGAAATATATAAATATTAGAACAACTATACGGTGAAAGTGTCTTCATTGACACAGTGTCGGTGATCAAACACAGCAGGACTCTCTGCAGTCTCTCTCCTCACCAGATGTTGGCTGTGGTGCCGTTTGGTTGTTTTCCAACTGAAAAGAGGACGAAGAAAAAGAGATTTAGCTGTTTTCATGCTGTTTCACTGCAGACAGACGAGCTGGAAACAATAATGTGAATTCATTTTAAAAGAATTAAACTGCTTAATGTAGGCGTAGTCCTGGAAAGAAGAGCACCGGTTGGAGTTAGTGAAAGATGGTGGTTTCAGTTGAATGTTAAAAGTAAGCTCAGCCTGGCTCGTATCTGTATGTTTGTCCATTTTCTGGTTATTTTAACATTTAACCAAGAAGCAGAAAAAGAGCTGAGTGCTTGAACATTAATCAAGCTATCAGGGAAACAAACAAAACAGTTGATTTCATTTCTACTAAAAAGTATTGGTGGTAATAACCCCTGAGCAGAATGTAAACCTGCTCTCTAGAATCAGAGCTGAACAAAGAAAGAGCAGAAGATGTTTGAGAAAGAGGAGAAAACAGACACAAAGACACAGAAGGAGGGATACGAGGCAATGAAGCCTAATTGCCACCAGGTTGCTCTCCACAGGGGGGCCTCTATTGAGCTGCAAGTGGGAGCAGTAATGTGTGTGTGTGTGTGTGTGTTTACATTAAATACACCCTCACACTGTTGGTAAAGTTCCTCTCTCAGTTTTGTCCTTACTGTTGGCAGTGAGTGGGACTCACAGAGGTCAGGGTTCAGATTCAGGTTGTTTGATTTGAGAAGTTTCAGGTAAAGGCCACGAGGGGGTAAAAAAACAGAAGTGAGACGTGTTTGAAAAAGGTCAAAGATTTGACCTTCACACCTACACTTTAGGTACTGACGCAGAAAAGGTGTATATGAAACAGGATCATGTATTATTTGACTAAAAATAATAACTTTTGCAGCCAGGATGTTGGGATCAGTGAGGTGGGCTGTAGCAGGCGGTCAGATTGTTTCAGGTACAGGTGAGACTGACGTACAATCACAGCAGTTTATGATCCTATGAGGCAGATTTTACAACCCTGGAAAAGTTCCACCAAAAACCTGAGTGCTAATAGCGGAAACTAGAGATTAGCAAGGACACCTTTATCTGTACCAGTTCAACCAACTACATTATCTGTACAATGTAATCTGAA